AATAGTGCTCCAAGACGTGGAACAGATTTTAAGAAATGCCGAGATGTGCCGACCTAGGTCAGATTTTGCCGACCTCAATTTTGACGGTTTTGACTTTTCGAGGGCTGCAAAATGGATGCCGACAAAGGAAAAAGGTCGCTTCACGCAGAAAAATGGTGGAAAACCAACTTAATAAAGGGTAATAAAGCGCATTTAAACATGCACATTTACTATAGATGGCCCTGAAGGGGTAAAATGGGAACTGGGATTGATCTATTGTTAGACTGGGAAAATGGGATTTGGGTTGCTGGGAGCCTGGGACTGGGATTTGGCCACTGGGAATGGGAAATGAAGTCCTCAAAAATGGGAATGGCATTGAAGTAATGTGAGTCGATTCCCAATTGTGATCCGTTTTTGGTATCTTTAGTCATGATTTTTGTTGTTAAGTATATTATTCACAGCATTACTTCCGAACAGGCATACTCTGGCGCCCGGAATTTTGGGTTTTCTGATTATGCGTGTCTCAGAATGATGCAAATGCCATTTCCAGGATTCAAATTTAAAAATTTTCCGTGCCTTCGGCACGCCCCCCCCCCCCCCATATTTCATAAAGTGTCTGCCACTTGCACACACGGTGGCTTAAAAGGTCTTAAAACTGTTTATTCTACCGATAAATAAAGGGTTTTTTATTGACTGAGATTTCAACAACTCGGACTGGGATTTCTAATAAAAATCCAGCTGGGACTGGGATTTTGCCAAAATTCCAGGTGGAAAATGGGATTGGGACCCCCCTTCCCTTCAGGACCCTCACTATAGGCTAACGACTCGGCAAAATCACCAGACAACAGTCGGCAAAAGATCACTCACACCCCCCCCCCACTCGAAGAGGGTTAGCGCCGCCCCTGCAAGGAGCGGCTGAATTCCACGACAAGCGAAATGCGAAAAATTTCGAGCGAAAACACACTTGTGCGAAAATTTTCTCTCGTACCGATTTCCACACTTGGAGAAAAAATTCGCCAAAACATAAGCATTTGATTGGTTTCGCTATTTTGTCATCCAAAAGACAAGCATTTGATTGGTTTCGCTATTTCCATTTCGCAACGGAGTAGAAACGAATTCAACTACCCGGCGAAGAGAAATATTTCGCCGAGAAACATTCCAAAATCATGTTGCGCATGCGTTCAACCTTTTCGCGCGAAATTTTTCGCATTTCGCTCGTCGTGGAATTAGGCCTTAATTAAGTAGCCTGCGAACAGGCTCTCAATCACTCCTCAGACACGCCAGAAATACCATCAGTGAGAAATACTCCTCAAATCTGGTAAACCAACATCCCCCCACCTCACACACTGACACGCCGATCCATAAAATAACGAACCTTCCCTTGGCCTTGGTATAAATCAGAATGACAGACAATGCACTTGTGATCTATATATTCACATGAATGAGAACGAAAATTTAATTCACGTTAAGTCAGGGCGTCTCTAAGATAG